CACACAGAGCATTTGGTAGAGTCCTCAGAAAAGTCATGACATTGTAGTGAGGCTAACTTAGGCTTAAACACTGCTCTGGACCCACCATAAGAAAGCTTAAAAGCAAGCCTCCAAAGGCTCAAACAGATCTGCAAGGAATTTATTGGTGTGCCACAATAAAGTCCTTCAAAGGAATAAAACAAAGTCCAGTCCTCGACAACATAACACAATGACCAGTGTCCAATCAAAAATTACCAAGCATCTAAAGAAATGGGAAAATATGACCTATAACCAGAAGAAAAATCAGTGATAGAACCAGATCCAGAAATGAGAGAGATGATGGAATTTGTAGACAAAAACCTGAAAGGGCTATTTTCTTTTCTTCCTTTTTTTTTGGCAGCGGGCTGGTACAGGGATCTGAACCCTTGACCTTGGTGTTACCAGCACCACACTCTAACCAAGTGAGCTAACCATGAAAGGGCTATTTTAAATATTATAAATATGCTCAAGAGGATGTAGAGAAAAACATGAACATAAAGAGAAGAGAAACGGAAGGTATAAAAAAAGACTTAATGGAACCTCTAAAGATGAAAATACGTGAAACCAAAAACATACTGGACAAAATATTGCACAAAGATAACAACATACTTTTTTGTAAGAACACACTCAAATACAATGCTACATATTAAACACATTAAAATATTTCCCTATCATGAGGGAAGGTGAATGGAAGTGTGTTATGGAATAAAGGGGGAAAATTAATTAATTAATTGATTATTTTAAAAGAGGGTCCTAAAGCAGATGAATTATGATAAATGCCATGAAATGAGGAATATAATTAATTTAACCGTAACCATTCCAAGGAAAAAAAGAAGGAAATAAAGGGGGAAAAGGCAGTAGAGAGGATGGGAACTGAAGTTTAAGGGATAGCTAGAAACACCTTTTGAATAAGACTCAGCTAAAACTCTGCAGTCCAAGAGTCAACAATTAAAACAATATCATACTAATTATAATAGTTAACACTTATGTAAAACTAACTACATACCAGACATCTTTCTAAATACCCTCCATATATTAGCCAACAATTCTATGAGGAATGTTTTCCACACAATCTTGATATCTCATAAATCGATGGAAGATAACGGCAGTTTGTGTTTAAGCCAGGGCATTGCGCAAAAGAGAATTTGGACTGGAATCTAAAGAAAGATTGGGGCAAAATAATGCACCAGGGCCTACCCTGAGAGTCCTTCTTTGAGGGTCTTATTGAGACTAAGACCTCAGTAAAAACAATGAGAACAAGAGTTATTTTCCTGAATTGAAGATGAGGTATTTTATAGAGGCCACTACACAAGTGAGTTAAAAGAAATCTTAGATAACATCTATCCCAGGCGGTTTCAAAAATTTTTAAAGCAGAGGACCCTACACGCAAGCCAAATCCAATATATAAGAAACATACAAGTGAGATTGCTTTGATTGAAGAGGGGGGCCCAGTTCCAACCACACAGCCTCCCATCTGCCACCAGTTCCCACCCCCCTTTCTCACCATGGCTCCCAGGGCGCCTAGGGTCCTATATCACAGAGTTGGGGATGATGTCCCATAGACCCGCTCACTGTCACACATAGGTGTCTTACAACCCTCAGCTCAAGTCATTGCTGTCCCCATGCAATTATGGGCAAGAACAGACCAGACATATTCCCAGCATGTCTGATTTGTTCTTAAACTACTTTCTTGAGATGAAATTCACTTATCATAAAATTCACTCTTACAAAATGTACAATTCAGTAGTTTGTAGTATATTCACAAGTTGTGCAACAATTTCCACTATCTAATTCAAGAACATTTTCATCACTTCAAAAAGAAACTCCATGCCCATTGGTAGTCACTCCCCATTGTCCCCTCCCCCCAGCTTTAAGTAACCATTAATCTATTTTCTGTCTCTATGAATTTGCCTATTCTGGAAATTTTATATGTATGGAATCATACAACGTTTGCCATGCCCATTGGTAGTCACTCCCCATTGTCCCCTCCCCCCAGCTTTAAGTAACCATTAATCAATTTTCTGTCTCTGTGAATTTGCCTATTCTGGAAATTTTATATGTATGGAATCATACAACGTTTAGCTTTGTGGATTTTGGGAGGAGTTTTCAGGCAACATAACATCGCAGTCCCTCTGTTCTCTTGCTATAGTGCAAGGCATCCAGGCTATATCCCAGATCTCAGCCAAGGGCTGAGGGTCCCAACCTTGTCAAGAAGTGGAAAGCCTCAACAGGAAGCACCTGCTGACCTAGAGCTCTGGGGTGGCTGAACCTCAGTGCAGGAAGGGTTGGCTGAGATTTCTCTGAAATTCCCAAGTAACAGCCAACTAAATAGATGCAAGGAAACAGCCTGTCCAAAAAATTGTAACCAAATCTTTGATGCACACAATGCCTCCTTTTGTGATTTTTCTATAACAAGTTGAAGTTAATATGTTGATTTTTAAAAAGGTAACACTGGGAGGTAGGGCTGCAGCGGGGACGATGCACTGCTGAGTCAGACAAGAGCCTCTTGGCCACTTTAAGCCTCAGTTTTTCTCATTTGTAAAATGGCTGTAATGGTATTTACTTTGCAGGTGGTTGTGAGGATTCAAAATAGTCAAAACACCCAGTGTGTGCCTGAAGCACAGTGTGTGCTGCTGGGTAAGTGGCAGCTGCTAGCAATGTGCACAGGGCAGTTTAGGCTGATGGTTAGAACAGGCCCTGCAGAGCCAGCCAGACTTGGGGTTGAGACTGGCTCTGCCACTCAATTTCCTCATCTGTGAAATGGAGATGGTGACAGAACCTACCTTGTAAGGTTATTTGCAGGATCAAATGAGACAACCTTTGCTAATACTTACTGAACACTCCCTACAGCCAGTTCTCAGCCCTCTCCAGGTATGAACTCACTCAATCCTTTCAATAACCCTATGAAGTAGCTACCATTACCTTTCTCACCACGTCTGAGGAAACCGAGGCTCAAGTTAAGTGACTTGCCCAAGGTTACTCAGCCAATTAAGGGTAGCACTGGTATTTAACCCCAAGCAGTCTGCCTCCAGAGTCGACAGCTTCACCATTACTCTAAGCTTTCAAGGTTTTAGCACAGCACCTGGCACAGAGAAAGTCCCCAATAAATATTAGCTATTGTGGCTATGAAATAATAATGACAATTTTTAAAAACATGCTTTGGCATCTGCATTGTGTTAAGGAGATTGACTAAATTCTTAACTTTAAATTGGTGGAGGACAGAGGCTGGGTCTTATCCATATTTGTATCCAAGAGTAGTGCCTGGCATGGGATAAGGACTCAATAAGTGTCGTTGGATGAATGAGCGAGTTTTTCAAGCTGATATATTTATTAATGTATAACAAGGTGGCCCTTTTGGGGAAGGCTGGTGCTGGTTGAACTACAGCTAGACCAGGCCCCATTTGATCCACTTTGCCCAGCTCTGTTTTCCAGGTCACTAAAAAGTCATGATTCTTATAAACATTTTAATTGTCTGCTGTCATTACATAATCTTCATTCACTGGCGCCACCTCTCTCATCATCCAGTTCTAGACAACCACACCCAAACCTGGCTCACTCCCTCTACACACCTACCTGGCCCATTTAGACTCTAGGCTTTTCCACACACTGGAAGGTTCCCTCTTTATCTTGTACAAAATCCATTCACTGCCTGTCAGTCTTGCGCCTGCTTAATGAATGACTCAGACCTCCCACTTCACCCATATCTCCACAACATTGGGTATCAAAGCTGTTGAATTCCTCATTTTTTATCCCTGACAATCAAAGCATCCAACTCAAGATCAGGCTCTGCAGTTGCAGAGGTGGAGTAACCTTAGGACTTTGTCATCATCAGCTTGTATGAAGTCACTCCCTGTCAGGGTTGACAGAAACCTCCTTGTGCCCTTGGACAGAGGCCTGGCACTGTCTGTTCAGCAGCCTGGGGCTCTCTGGGCTTCCCCAAGGGCTGTCACATTTCTCAAAAGCCCAGAGAGGGGCCCAGCACACAAGGGTACACAGACTGCCCCAAGCTTTGCCAGGGCTACACAGAAGGCCTGAGCCCTCAATAAACACCAAGCTGTGAACATATCTATTCTCCCTGGATTCAGCTAAAGAGCTGTGTGAGTGAAAGCTTTACTCAGCCTCTTTCCCCAGCTAACACAACTAATAATTTCCTGATTGTGACCCAAGTCAGGTACACAGATATGCAGGCCAGGAGGCTGAGCACCGGCCCAGGCATGGGGCAGGGCAAGGGTGAGGACTAGGAGCAAGAGCTCGGCCCTGTGTGAGGCGGGAAGCCTCCTCCTGCCACCTCCAGCATGTGACTCATTTCCAGGTGTCACCTCCCTCAAGATTTGCTCCCCATCTCCTCCTTCTGTCTGCTCCTCTTACCATACACAAAGCAACTTCCATTTGCCTTCTTTTCCCCATATGTATTTTTTAGCTTCTTTTCTCCTAATGTAGCATTCACTCCTTATCTGAAAAGCTTGACTTCCCATTTTCCCCCTTCCCCTAACTCCCTGGTTGAGTCAGGCCTCCAGGCCATTTGGCCTTGTGGCAACTCCAAGTTCAAGGTCATTCTTCTTGGACTGCCATCTTGCTCTGGCCCGTACCACAGCTTGGATGCACGTTTCCCTCCCATATCATATCTTCACTGAGCCCATTCTCTGTGGCAGAAAGGGCACTAATCAGTTTGTAAGTTTTCTAATTACTTGGCCTCTCATTTCATTTCTATCTTGGACCCGGACAGTTCCCAGCCAGGTACTCAGGAATATGCTGTTAGGGTACCTGAGCCCAGAAAAGGGAAGTGCGCCGGGTTCTGGGAAGTGGGTGACTTCCACGTCAGAACCATGGTCTGAAATAAGCTCTGATATGTGAAGAGACATTATAGCAGGAAAGGGCTTTCTTCCACATGTCCCTTGGTTGGGATCATGCAAAACTGGGACAAGAATAGCTCGGAGGGCACGTACATGACCTGCTACACTTTTGGTCCCCCCATCTCCTACCTGTGCACATGATGGCGGCAAAGACCCAGCACTGCCCATAGTGCACCGGCTGGCAGCCATTGGCATGCCACTGCTTCAGGATGGCCACACTGCCAGTCCACTCTGCAGGGTTGACACCATCTGCATAATTCTCGCTCCAGTTTCCATTGAGCACTCCATTGTCATCATTGCTGTTGATCTGAAGAGAAGCCATATATAGAAGCATTAGAAACATCCTTTTCCTCAACAAGGAGTGATATGTGGACTGCCTTGGAAAGCCCATGGGCCTGAGACAGAGGAGACCTTTGTTCTCATTTTACTGGAGACTTCCACACTTGCTGGGGAAGAGGTGGTGGCGGGAGGCCAGCTGTTCTGACTTGTGTTCCACTGTTAATTAGTTTATTATTCCGTTTCTATCCACCCCCTTACCCTGTGTCCCCCATTCCCTGTGAAGCTAGAGCTTGGCTCTCAGACCTTTTAAAAATACTTTAGAACAAAGGAAGCTCAGAAACAACAAGACCATTTCCCAAACTGGAGATAGACTCAGCCTTTCCCAAAACATGCAGTTTGGAATTGATAGAGGTGACGGCCCGCCCCCAGATATTTCAAAGCTCAGTTGAGAAAACTTGCTACTCACATTCGGCCATCAGTCCCATCCATAATGGCTTTGCCAGAGGTCCCCTGCCTCTCTAGCCCATTGCAGGGGGTGACTGTGGGTGGGCAGGGCCCCTCTGCTCAGCTTCCTCACCCCCTGAGCATACCAGGGACCTCACCATGGCGCACACCACTCTGCTGATGTAGACGGGGCTTCCCCGCAGGGCACAGTCTGTGGCTGGGTCGACCTGGAAGTTCAGGCTCTTGTCTAGCAGCTCCAGGCAGATATCTATGATATTCTCTTCAAACTGCAGGAGGGAGGTGCAGAGAGGGGAGATGCCCATGCTTGGCATGTGGGGGTCTGTAAAGAAACATGTGACCCATCCCACCCAGCTCTCCCATGGAGTGTGTTTGTGGAATACAAACCCATCTGGAAGGCAACCATCAAACAGAAGGACCATGAACTGTCTCCTAGGCAGGTGTGGTGTTTCAAAGCTCTGGAGTCACAACTCAGCTGGTATATATGCCCTGCAAGTCAAATCCCTCTCCCTTCATTTTGAAGTAACCATTGATACTGCTGGGTTTTTTCTCCAATGAGTCTGACTGGCTGAAAAGTCTTTTTCTCCCTGTTCTTCCCTCAATCTCCATGCTGCTGGAGCCCCTAGGATAGTCTTGCTAGAACCACACCACCTCTTCTTCCATACTCACATGCTGATCCAGCTTATCATCAGCAGGTACTGCTGAGGCCATGGCACCAACCTGCCTTGAACCCACATTCAGAGGGGCCCTGGACTGACTAATCACAAACGTGAGTTATGAAACTTCCCACCCAAGGTAGGCTGTCTCCGCCTTGACCTTCAGGTTTGGTATGGATGCCACTTCCTCCAAGAATTCCCAAGCCTGAGACTGGTTTACCTCTGTGTCCCTGAATACGTCCTTGTACTCATCAGACTCAGTTTTACAATGTAATGAAGGTCCGTCTTTTCCTGCTCTGATTCAATCCACCTCTTTTCACAACTCCAGAGCCCAGACCTGGTGCACTGCCCATCACATGGTAGGGACACGTACATCTGTTTTGACTGAGTGTAAATGAAGGCATTCATTCCCATGTGACACTGGGCAACAAGCAGAATTAGGAGACTTCTCTGACCCATCTTTCCCAAGGGACAGTCTGACCAGTTCACTTTTCTCCTTTAAAATATTCAAAGGCCCCTGCAGCCTAGAGAATCAAAGCTCCAACCTCCTTTAGAAGGCACAGAAGTCCCTCCCTGATGTGGCCCCCTCCTAACTCCTCAGCCTTGTGTCTCAGTACAGCCCCTTGTCACTGCCGCCTCACCATTTTTGCTCCAGCAACACCAGATTTCTGTAACCCCTGAAGCAGGCTAAACTGTTTCCCACCTTTGTGTCTGCTCATGCCTTCCCTCTACCTGGGATATTTTCCCACCTTCCTTCACTTGGCTAACTCAGCTCACAACACCAGATTTCTGTAACCCCTGAAGCAGGCTAAACTGTTTCCCACCTTTGTGTCTGCTCGTGCCTTCCCTCTACCTGGGATATTTTCCCACCTTCCTTCACTTGGCTAACTCAGCTCAAGCATCTCCTCTCCCAGGAAGCTTCCCCAATACCCCCATGTCCAACCAAGAGCTCTTCCTCCTGGCTCCCAGAACACTCTGTACCGTCTCTGAAACTATACATCCCACTGCATGATAAGTGATTTGTTTGTGTGTCTGAGTCCCCACTACACTTTGGGATCAGGGACAGTTTTACTCATTTTTATATCTCTAGCACCTAGCACCCTGCCTGGCACTGAGAAGGCATTCAGTGTACAATTACTAAAGAAGAGAGACAGAAAGGGGGGGACCCAGAGTTCAGAAAGCAGCAACTCTCACTTCTGTCTCTCACGGATGACAGCAAACTCCTCTCCAGGGGCTCTCCAGGAACCCCAGTCTGCCCATGCTTAATGAGTTGGGGATGTGAGTTGGGGCCAATTGAGGCTGCTACATCTCATCTTGGCTGTAGCCACCCCCAGGCCCAGGTTGGGCCCACATGCCATGTGTTTTGGAGTTCTAACTGGGCAAGTCCAGGGAAGGAGCTCATATCAAGCTGCCACAAGGCTCTAGGAAGACCCCCAGGATTTCCCTCTGGGACCCTCTGGGTGATCCAGGGCTGGTCCTCTCCCACCCATAGTGCTACTAGCACCAGAGCTCAGCCTAGAGAACCCTCTTTCCTGGTCTGGCACTCAAATTCCTACCATGGGATCTACCATGGGCTGAGTTTAAATGAGAGGCAGGCTTTAGAAAGGCAGGAGTTGCAGAGCATTGCAGTTAATGTGACACGACTTTTACATATAAAATCGTGTGTCTTAGAATATGTATACAATACAAAATGTGGAGGGAGAAGCATTGCTGCTGCTTCTGGTTGAGATGTTCAGGGGCAAGTTTCCATCAGTATGACAGAATTGGTGCTAGGGTCCATTGCCAAGGGTTGTGAGGATGAAGTGAGAGAGTGGAAAATGGGACTCCACTGGAACCAGTCTAACAAACAAAAATAGCAGGCACTGCCATTGCCACTGTGATTGTTGTCACCTTCATCTTCACCCTGATGTTCAGTGGAATTCCTGAGTGGGGTGACTTTAGCTGCCCTTTCCCCATGGACCTTCCCACTGCCTCTGACTGCTCTTCTAGCAACCTGGAGTCATATCTCACATCTTTCTGGCACCATTTAGTTAGCGTTGGCGGGCAGTTCTGGGTGAACCTTGTGTGAGGGGCACCCTCTCTCCCACTCTTTCTCCCCTCTCCCCACAAACCCAGGGCTTGGATGGGCCACAAGCAGGGCTGAGATTCACCTGTCCGTAGTTCCAGGGGCACCTTGTGTGAGGGGCACCCTCTCTCCCACTCTTTCTCCCCTCTCCCCACAAACCCAGGGCTTGTATGGGCCACAAGCAGGGCTGAGATTCACCTGTCCGTAGTTCCAGGGGCAAGGGCGGATCCAGTTCTTGTTCCCTTGGTAGATGAAGCCGTAATCATTCACAACATACTCCTGCCTCTGGGGTTCACTGTCTAAGTAGACAGCGTCCGCTAGGAATCAAAGTGGGAGGACACAAAGCAGCAAAGTCATCTTGCCCTTCCTGACTATCCCCATCCCCACAGTCCCATGGAAACTGAGCTCTGGAGAGGGCACCTGCGGACACCTAGAGGGGCAGGAGGGGGGTGGGTCTTGGGGAGACCACACCCCCAACACAGGCTCAACATGAACATGAGGTGGAATAATAGAAATTTACTTTTGGTGAAATTTCTTGGCTCACCAACCATGTTTACACTCTAGCCCCATTGTAAGATTGAGAAGACAGGTTCAGAATGATTAAGTAACTTGCCCAAATCACACAGTTCAGAGCTGGAATTTGAAGACAGAGCCCATGTGACTCCATGTTCTGTGCTCTTTCTGCTATACTTAACTAATCTTGGCTGGAAAAAATCAACAGGAACTCAAGGGTTGGCATTAACCTCATCACTCCCTTTGTAGGAATTCAATCTAAGCAAAGTGTTTAGGATGTGCACAAAAATTTAGATACTAGGCTGTACATCTGAGGGCTGTTGATAATACTGAAAAGCTGGAAACAACCTAAATGCCCTATTCTCGTGGGCTGGTTAAATAGCTTCAGTGCATCTCCACCACAGAATTCTATATAGTATTAATACTGCAAAATCGAATATATGGATATGGAAATCTACATGTGATATATGAAGTTTAGATAGTTTACAAAATAATGTGTATAGTATGAATTGTCTTTTCTTAAAATATACATGTATATAAATGGGATTTTGAAGCCTATTCCAAAAAACATTAATAGTAATTTTTTTTTCTTTTTGCCTATTGGTGTTCTCTAGATTTTCAGAATGAACATGTACTACTTTTATTATATAAAAAAATTATCTTATAGGGCCAGCCCGTGGCTCACTTGGGAGTGTGTGGTGCTGATAATTATCAAGGCTGCGGGTTTGGATCCCTATATAGGGATGGCCAGTTAGCTCACTCGGGAGAGCGTGGTGCTGACAACACCAAGTCAAGGGTTAAGATCCCCTTACTAGTCATCTTTAAAAAAAAAATCATCTTATAAAGTTAAGAACTAACAAACAAAGGGCCTTGGTGGCAGATGTCCTCTTTGCAGTATCCTGGGACTGTCTGGAAGCCCTATTGACCCTGAGGTGCAGGGATGCTCCTCCCCTCCTCAGAGGCAGCCTCAGATGCAGCCTGATGGGCTGACACTGCTGCAGGAGGACACCTTGCTGAGATGTGTTTTTTTTTTCCTTTTTGTCTTTTTTACTGACCGGCAACAGGATTGCAACCCTTGGTGTTGCGCCCGCACCGTGCTCAGCCAGTGAGCGGGAACCGGTCTCCACATGGGATCCGAACCCTCGGCGGGAGTGCCGCCGCGCTCCCAAGCAGCGCATTCTCCAGTGCGCCATCATCTTATAAAGTTAAGAACTAACAAACAAAGGGCCTTGGTGGCAGATGTCCTCTTTGCAGTATCCTGGGACTGTCTGGAAGCCCTATTGACCCTGAGGTGAAGGGATGCTCCTCCCCTCCTCAGAGGCAGCCTCAGATGCAGCCTGATGGGCTGACACTGCTGCAGGAGGACACCTTGCTGAGATGTGTTTTTTTTTTTCCTTTTTGTCTTTTTTACTGACCGGCAACAGGATTGCAACCCTTGGTGTTGCTCCCGCACCGTGCTCAGCCAGTGAGCGGGAACCGGTCTCCACATGGGATCCGAACCCTCGGCGGGAGTGCCGCCGCGCTCCCAAGCAGCGCATTCTCCAGTGCGCCACCGGGCTGGCCCTGAGATGTGTTTTTTTGAGGATTTGGACCAGTGTGGCAGGAAGCTGCAGGTTCATGGATGAGATCACACACATCCCTCCTCACGGCCAGGCCAGGAGTGGCCTGAGCTACAAGGTGGGTTTTCCCAGCTAATATCCCAGTACTGTGATGGAGCAGCTGCTGATCCTGACTTCAGCCCCTCCCAATCCCTAGCCACAGTGTTGGTCTCCCTAGGACCTGGGTGGGACACAAAGTCAGGAGAGAAGGCCCCACAGGTAAGACTTTCCTCCCCACAGCTTGGAAGGCCCTTAGTACAAGTCTGACACTCATGGTCTTGGAGGACAGGAGGGATATGTGTGTGTAAGAGAGACAGAGACACAGAGAGAAGACAGACAACTGGTCCTCTTTTATCCAATGGCAGGCCTGGTCAAATGGCTAGTGAGAGAGTGCTGAGCCATTCAGTGACAGGGAGGTGGATGGTTAGAGGTGTTAGAACCCACCCAGAGTTTTGGGTTCTGACACAACCCAGCAGGCCACTTGGAATAAAGCTGGGAGAGAAGGTAGAGCCAGAGGGAAGAGGGGAAGGGATCATCCTCTAAGCCAGAAGCAAGACTTAGTTGAGTCTGGCCTCTGCCCCAAAGCACACCGATGCATTCTCTACTGCTGACCTCTTCTGCCTCTCCTCCCACTCTCTCCTCTTCACTTGTGTTTCACTCTGCCCACACCATGTCCATGTCCTACATCTGTCTATGTACCTACGGCTACCCCTCCCCCATGATGATTTAGAGGACAGGACTTGTGGGACAGGTGGCATTGGGATATTAACTGTGGCTTTGTTTGTACAAGAGAAAAAGTGGTGACAGCCAAAATGCCCACAAATAGGAGACCAGTTAAAACCATTTTGTGCATCCAAACAGTGGAATAGTTTTAGCTGTTAAGAAGACTGTACTGATAGGAAAATATGTCCAAAGTTGAATTGTTTTTTTTTTTTTTTTTGACCAGTAAGGGGATCACAACCCTCAGCATGGTGTGGTCTCCACCACGCTCAGCCAGTGAGCAAACCGGCCATCCCTGTATAGGATCCGAACCCGCGGCCTTGGCACTACCAGCGCCGCACTCTCCCGAGTGAGCCACGGGGCCAGCCCCAAAGTTGAATTGTTAAATTAAAAAAAAAAAAAAAAAAAAGCAAACTGGAGGATGGTACATATTACATAATCCCACTTGTGGTGTGTATTGTAGAATCACACACACGCACACACACATTCACATTTGATTAAGAGTAGAACTCTTTCCCAAGGCTGCGAAAGAAAATGTGAGCAGGGCTTCCGCTGGAGAATGGGATTAGGAGATTGGGAGATTTTACTTTTCTTCTTACATCTTTCTTTTCTTTTTTCTTTCTTCTTCTTTTTTTGTTCTTATTTTACCCTTTACTTCATTCCAAGAATATTCAATGCACTGCATTTATTACTTAAATCATGAAAAAACTTTAATTAACTTAAAAATGCATGATGAAGGTAGATGTTAACAGTGGTCAAACTTCATTGTAATAGTTTTCTTTTTAAATAAAGATGATTTGGTTCATAATCTACAAATTCTAAATAAATAAATAAATAGCAAGATCTCCCTCCCTTGCGGTTGCTAGGTGGGGGTGGATGCTGACTGCCTGGGATTGGGGAGGCTTGTTGGTGGCCAGGAAGCTGGGTCTAGAAATCCTGAGCCTGTCTCTCTTGTGGCAGCACCGACCAAGATACAGAGACAAGGGACCCTTGCACGGGCACCCTGCCTTACCTGGGCACCAGGGATTGAAGAGCAGGATGAACTCCCCAAGCTGGTAGGCAGTGACATACCCCTGGAAGGAGTCGATGTGGATTTTCAGGAGGTACCGACCCACAGCCGCCATGGGAGGGGCACACAGGCTCACCTCCAGGGAGGTGGGTCGATTCGTCTCCAGCGAGGCGATCCAGGGGCTGGGGCCACCACGGTCTGCCAGGCTGAACACAGCCCGAGTCCCCTTTGCCAAGTCTGGCAGGGGTCCTAGGAGGGAAATAGAGTTGAGGCCCTCTAGGGTGACCTCCCAGCCCCTCAACTCCCTCCCCCCAACGTATACACATGTGTGCACATGCACAACCCCAGTGAGCAAGCTGGGGTCCTCACCAGTCTCAATCACGAAGATGATGTTGTCCAGGCCCGGCTGGAAGCCCCGGTTCCTGAAGTACAGGGTGATGTTGAAGGGCTGGCCCCGACGAACAAGGAGGTGGTCAACACTGATTTCCTCTGTGTGGTGCCGCACGTTGTTCCGGGAGCTGTGGAGGTCCGTGAGGGCCACCTCTAGCCCTGCGATGGGGCAGCCAGGGGCAGATGAAACAGTAGGGTTGTGGAGCCTGGTACAGTCCTGCCCACCACTTACTAGTTGTGCAAACTTGAGAAAGTAACCTAGCCTCTCTGAGCCTCAGTTTCCACGTTAGCAAAACAGAGCCCATAATCCCAGCCTGACAGGGTTGGTATAAGGGCTAGTCGAGGCTGCGTGCATGCATGTTCCTCTCTCTTCCTTCCTCCCTTCCTTCCTCCCCTACATCTCTGACCTTCTATCCCCTTCTCCCTTACATCCTCCTGAAGGTGCATGGTCTTCTGCCACTATTCAACTCCTTTTATAGATCAGGCCAAGTTTAATTGCTCCCTTCAGCCTCACATGTCTTCAGATTCAACCCAGTGTGCATTTTCTTGGACTCAAGTTTATACTCTTAATTGCCCTTGTACTGGCCTCCAGACCTGGTTGTGAGACTCTGGATTAGCTACCCTTGGGCTAGCTGTCCCTGGATAAACTGCTCTTCTTTAAACAATTTGCTGGCTCCCTCACCACCACTAATGCCACGTGCCCAATGCCCTGAGAGCTCAGATGCTGACGACAGTCAAAGAATGTCCCATTCCCAGCTGTCTGGAACTTCTGCTAAAACACAGACTGACCTCACTGTTCTCCAAGTGCACCTCTCCCAAAAGGGCTTTGTTTCTGACTTCTCTGTTTCTTCTCCACTTCTGGGGTCCTGCTATGGTCCCCAGTCACTGGTGGGCTCACAGCCTTTAAGTCGCAATTGGCTCGGGGGGGGGGCAGCTGGCTGGTACAGGGATCTGAACCCTTGACTTCGGCATTATCAACACTGTGCTCTGACCAACTGAGCTAACTGGCCAGCCCATGTCTGTGTATTATGTTCCTGCAATAGCCTCAAGTCAGAATGCCCCCTAACTATGAATTCCACCTGTCCTCCAAGACCCACCTGCTTCATGAAGCCTGCCCCAATTGGCCCACCTTTCTTTCCTTCTCCCACTGATCTATAGCACTTAATTGACAGATTAATTTACATCTCATGCTGATTTGTTCATTTATATCAACAAATTTCTACTAGTTCCAGGCTCTGGATGAGGGTGTCCAGATATTTTTCTTGGTTACTTTTTCATTTGTCTGTCTTTCAGCACTAGCTGTAAGCCAATAAGGATAGAAACCTAGCTGCTTTGTCTTGGCTATACTTGGATTAAAAAAAAAAATGAACCAAAGTATCTGACAAAATCTAATACTCTTTTATGATAAAAAAATTTGACAAACTAGTAATAGAAGAGAACTTGCTCAATCTGATAAAGGCTTTCTATGAAAACCTATAGCTAAAACCATATTTAACAGTAAAAGACTAAATACTTTCCTGGTGAGATAAGGAACAAGACAAGGGTGTCTGCTCTTGCCACATCTATTCAACATTGTACTAGAGGCTCCAGCCAGGGCTATTAGGCAAGAAGAATAAGTCAAAGACATCCAGATTGAAAAGAAGTAAAATTATCTCTATTCATACAGGACATAATTTTTTATATAGAAAATCCACATACACACACAAAAAGAATTAATAAACAAATACAGTAAGGTTGAAGGATACAATAACAACACACAAAAATCAATTGTATTTCTATACACTTGCAATAAATTATCTGAAATTAAAATTAAGACATTCCATTTATAATAACATCAAAAAGAATGAAATACTTATTACAAAAGAAGTGCAAAACTTGCACCACCAAAAAACACAAAACATCATTGAAAAACTAAAGACCTAAATAAATGAAAAGACATTCCATCTTCATAGATTGGAATACAGTATCATTAAGATGACAATTTGATCTACAGATTCAACACAATCCTTATCAAAATTCCAACTGCCATTTGCAGAAATTGACAATACAATCCTAAAATTCATAAGGAAATACAAGGGATCTATAGTAGCCAAAACAATCTTAAAAAAAAAAAAAAAACAAAGTTAGAGGACTTACAGTTCCCTATTTTAAACTTTACTATAAAGCTACAGTAATCAAGGTAATGTGGTAGTGGCATATGGATAGACATATAGATGAGTGGAATAGAACTGAGAGTCTAGAAATAAACTGTCACATTTACAGTCAATTGATCTTTAACAAGGGTGCCCAGACAATTCAATGGGGGAAAGAGCACTCTTCAAAAAATGGTTCTGGGGCCGGCCCGGTGGTGCACTGGAGAGTGCGCCGCTTGTGAGCGCGGCGGCGCTCCCGCCGAGGGTTTGGATCCCATGTGGAGACCGGTTCCCGCTCACTGGCTGAGCGCGGTGCGGGCGCAACACTGAGGGTTGGGATCCTGTTACCAGTCAGTAAAAAAGACAAAAAGGAAAAGAAAAATGGTTCTGGGACAAGTGGATTTCCACATGCAAAAGAACGAAGCTGGATGCCTACCTCACACCAAACACAAAATTAATACAAAATGGATCAAAGACCTAAACGTAAGAACTAAAACTATAAAACTCGTAGAAGGTAACACAGGGGTAAATCTTTATGATCTTGAACTATGCAATGGTTTCTTAGGTATGACAGCAGAAGCTCAAGCAGTGAAAGAAAAACTCTAGATGAATTGGACTTTATCAAAATTAATAATTTTTTTTTTTTTTAAAGATGACCGGTAAGGGGATCTCAACCCTTGGATTGGTGTTGTCAGCACCACGCTCAGCCAGTGAGCGAACCGGCCATCCCTATACAGGATCCGAACCCGTGGCCTTGGTGTTATCAGCACCGTACTCTCCCAAGTGAGCCACGGGCCGGCCCAAAATTAATAAATTTTTTTGCATTAAGACCACTACCAAGAAAGTGAAAAGATAAGCCACAGACAGGGGAATATAAATTATATACAGTATCTAATAAGGGACTAGTAACCACAATATTAAAAAAAAAAGGGGCAACTGATATGATTAGACATATCTCCAAAGATGATATGCAAAAGGCCACTAAGTACATGAAAAGATGCACAATATCATTGTCTTTAGGGAAATACAAGTGAGATGCCACTTCGTACCCACTAGGATAGCTGTAAGAAAGACAGATAATAACAAGTGTTGGTGGGATGTGGAGAAATTAGAACCCTCATACGTTGCTGGTGGCATTATAAAATGATGCAGCATTTTTTTTGTGTGTGTGTGACTGGTAAGGGGATCGCAACCCTTGGCTTGGTTTTGTCAACACCATGCTCAGCCAGTGAGTGCACTGGCCATCCCTATATAGGATCTGAACCCATGGCCTCGGCGCTCCCAGCACCACTGCACTCCCAGCGCCACACTCAGCTGAGTGAGCCATGCGATTGGCCCAAAATGATGCAGCATTTTGAAACAGTCTGGCAGTTCCTCAAAATGTTAAATATAGAGTTACCATATGATCCAGCAATTCCATCCTTAAGTACACACCCAAGAAAAATGAAAACATATGTTCACACAAAACCTGTACTGAATGTTGATTGCAGCATTATTCATAACAGTCAAAAAGTGGAAACAACACAAATATTTATCAGCTCATTAATGGATAAACAAATGTGGTATATCCATATAATGGAATATTGTTCGGCCATGAAAACGAATGCTGAACATGCTATAACATGGATGAATCTTGAAACATTATGCTAAGTGGAAGAAGTCAGACACAAAAGGGCACATATTGTATGATTCAATTTATATAAATAGGCAAATTGATAGAGACAGAAAATAGATTAGAGTTTTCCAGGGACTGAAGGAAGGTGGAATGGGATGTGACTGCTAAGGGGTATGAGGTTTCCTTTAGAGGTGATGAAAATGTTCTGGAATTACGTAGTGGTGATGCTTGCAAAACTTTGTGAATATACCAAAAGCCACTGAATTGTACACTTTAAAAGGGTGAACTTTGGGGCCGGCCTGTGGCTCACTCGGGAGAGTGCGGTGCTGATAACACCAAGGCCGCGGGTTCGGATCCCATATAAGGATGGCCGGTTCGCTCACTGCCTGAGCGTGGTGCTGACAACACCAAGTCAAGGGTTAAGATCCCCTTACCGGTCATCTTTTTTAAAAAATAAAAAAAATAAAAAAAAAATAAAAGGGTGAACTTTACAGTATGTGAATTATATCTTAATAAAACTGCTATAATGTTATAATAAATATGAAACATATCAACTGTACTAAAATACCCTAATAAATATTAAACTCTATCTTCTTAAACCTCTTTAAAAGTTTTGATTACTAATGCACATCTTTTTCATAAATTAGCTAATTATTATTATTATGATAAAAGAAACATAAGCATAATGATTGGCACATTTAGGCACTCAGAAATGTTTGCTAGTTTGAATAGAGTTCTCTATGTTTTGCAAAATCACCCAGTACCACCTATTTCAGATTTCAGATTCAATCAACACTTTATTGAGAGCCTGTCTACCATGTGCTGACTACTCAGTTATCTCATTTAATCCTCACCACAAACATGGAGGGACGAAACGCCATGGGACCCACACTTGGAGATGAGAATGCCAAGGTTTAGGTAGATTAAATGTCTTGCCTAAGGTTAAACCCGGGATTCCTGACCCCAGTCCAGTGCTCTCCCCATTACACAACAGCTGCTGCTCACTGCTGGCTTTCACTCATGGTCAGAAAGAACATCCTGACCCATTGCCAGTTGGGAAAGCACCTGGCTTTTTCCTAATAGTGGAAAAAGAGGCTCACCCCTCTTGGAGACCAACTGACTAGACAGAAAGAACTAACTGACTATGATTCAGGTTGGGCACATGACCTGGACTACCCAACAGATGTGGCAGCATCTGCCTGGCAGTAAGCACTGGAGCCAAATCTCATCCTCTGGATATGTCACGGATCATGTTAATCTCTGCCTGTGACACAAGGGATTATTCTTCAGCCCCAACACTGGATATTCAGACAGGAGGTTAATTTACTGCTGGGCACATTTCTTCTCTTTGAGGAAAAGGGATAATGGGGTAAAATGATCAGGGAAATAAAAAGAAGATTGTAAGAAGAACCTTTAGAGTAGGAGATCTTAGTGTCTGTCCTAGAGAGACACTCCCACGTGAGCACAATGAGGTATGAACAAGGATGTTCATTGCAATATTGCTAGCACGACTAAAAAATTGGAAACAACCTAAATACCCATCAATAGGGGACTAGATAAACAAATTACTTATACTCGCACTATGGAAAATACTAAGGTAGATATATAGGTGCTGACTGGCACAGACAGAGCTCCAAGACACACACACACACACACACACACACACGAATGTAAATGTGTAGACAAAAGACAGATAACAGTGGTTACTCTGGAGAGGAGGCTAGGGTTGGGGATGGCAATCAGGGGACTATAGCTTTATCTATAATTATTGACATAAGATGAAAAAAGGCATTAATTTAATTTACTCCAACTAGATATTCATATGTTTCCTGTGTAATTAAAAGTTATAAAGATTTTTAAGTAAAAATGTAAACACGAAGGGTAGTAAATGAAGGTAAGGCCGTTACATTTGTAGAGAAAGTTAGAAGCTCATTCCCATAAACGGTTTCAGCCTAACCATTCAATCTTCCTAGCAGCCCTTTCCACAAGGAGGGAGATGGCATGGAGAGAAGGGTAGTGGCGGGAAGATTAGTTAAGATGATGAACAGACCCTCTGATATGGGAAAAGGAGAGAAGATGTGGCGATTCAGAGAACTTTAGAGCTGGAAGACGACTTCAAGATTGTTTGGTCCAATTCATGTTTTAGGAACAGGGGTTGGAAACTAGAGAAATGACTTGCCTAGTGTCAAAAGGTCAGTTTGAGGCAGCGAAGGACAGGAGCCCTGACCCCTAATCCCTGGCCCTGCCCGTCCCACCTGGCTATGGAAGGAGGAAAGTCAGTATGCAGTTGCTTGGCCATGTTTCCCTGTCGGCCTCCACCCTGTCTCCCAGTTGTCAGGCCACCAGTGAATTCTGAGGTTTCTAGGGTTCCTACTCTTCCTGCCTCAGTACTGTTTGTGCTTCTTTCTTCCTCTGAATCCACGCTCCTCCCCTTGACTCCCTTCAGTCTCTCTCTGTCCTCCTTGTCCCCTCTCTCCACAGCCCCTATTGGCCTTTCCTACCTTGGGCCATGGTGGCTGCCTCTGGTACCCAGGCTGCTTCCCACAGAACAGCTGGATGGACAGGAGCTTCAGGGAACTGGTCCTGGAGTGTCCACAGCCCCTTCCATCCCAAGACTCCAGGAGACACTGAAGGCGGGGCCCGGCTGCTGCACTGACATCTGCTTATTGGGCAGATCACAACTGGTTTTCTCGCTCGCCCTCAGGTTTTTCTTGGCAGTGTTGATCGGCTGAGAGCAGGTGTGGAGGCTGAGACAGTGTCAGGGCCTTGTGCTATGAGGGCCTTTGATAGCTCTTGGGCAATAGGATATTTCCTGGCAGATGCTGTGCTGCGGTGGAGGAGCCAGGAGGGAGAGGCGAGCAGATGGGACCTCCAGGGAGATGGAGGGGGGCTGCACCCCTGCAGGAGGGAGTTTCAGGGTCCCAAGTCGACTGTGCACAACTTAAAGAGCCTCAGTGAGCCTAGAATCCTGCTCTGCACCTGAGCCCTCTTGTATTCCGAAGAGCCACTTTGTGGATATTAAATGCAAACTGAACCCACTGTGGGTCACCCTTGCTATGATTTTGTTGTATTTATTTTTTGGTGGTGGCATCGTCTTTGGAGAGACCTGCCAGGTCCAAGGAAAATCTCAAATAAAAGCAGTAGAGGAAGAAAAATTGGAAAGATTCACAGAGGAGTTTTGGAAGTAGATGAGAGGAGAGGGTGGGAATGCCAGTGAGCAAGGACCTTGATCCTAATAAGTACAAGTCCTTGAAATGAGCTTGTGGAGAGAAAAGCACAGATAAGAGAAGAGAGGAAAGGAAGGAGAAGTGTTCTGCGTGTGGAGTGGGTGGGACACCCATCCCCCACTCTGCCGTCCCACCCACCCCCCACCCCGCCAAGCTCCTCCTTCACTGCTTTGCCTCCAACCCCCTCACCCTGCTGTAATCTGCCTTCTGTCCCCACGCCTCCCCTGACACCATTCTCACCTACCCCCTCTGGTCACCAGGCCCCAGGCACCCTTCCCTGCTCTTATCTCATGAGGCCTCCTGCAGCCCTGACTGTGCTCAGCACTCCTTCTGGGCTTAGGTGATCTCTCTCTCTTGGTTGTCCTCCTGCCTCCTCATCCACTCCATCCTCTTCTTCTCAGTCCCCTTCACAGGGGACTCATGCTGGTGCTTCCCAGGGATTTGTCCCAGGGTCTCCTCTCTTCTCACTTCACTGGCTCCCACGTGACCCTAATGATCCCCAGAACTGTGTGCTGCAGGCACCACCTGCTCGACAGCTCTGCAGGGCGAACCGCGGACACTTCACACCCAGAGGGCCAAACTGGAACCCCTCTCACCTCCCTTTCCTCTCAAAATACCTGCCTTTCCTCCTGCACCTCCAGTCTTGGTGAGTGAGAAACCTGGGCACCACCTCATACTTCTCCATCTTCCTGACCTCCCTTTAGCCCATCGATCCAGGCCAGCTCCTGATTGTCTCCTAAAACTGGCCCCTTGTCTCTGTGCCCTTTGGTCCTGCTTTCCCTGAAGCCCCCACTTGCCTGGACAACAACTACTAACCAGTCTTCCACCCATCTCTTCTCCAAGTGAGTCACCAGAGTGGTTTTTCTGAAGTGCCAATTTGACCAGGTTGCTCCCCTGCTTACAGTGTGGGTGAAGTCCAGACTTCTCAAAGTCACTCTCAAGGCACCTGGAGTCCAGGCGGGCCACACCCTTTCAGTTTTCTGATGGAGACCTCTCTCCAGCACCTCTGTGCGCTCTCACTTGTGTTGATCTCTCTTTCTGAAACGTTCTCTCACTTGCCTGATTTCTCCAGTATCCAGGCTCAAGTATCGCCCCTCTGGGAATTATTCCTGACACCATCCCTCTGCCACACCAGGAGTATAACGGCTTCCTCTTCCGCATTCCCTATCAGCCAATGAATACCTTAACATCATCAATGTCTACCTATCTTTCCCCTCAAGTATCGCCCCTCTGGGAATTATTCCTGACACCATCCCTCTGCCACACCAGGAGTATAACAGCTTCCTCTTCCGCATTCCCTATCAGCCAATGAACACCTTAACATCATCAATGTCTACCTATCTTTCCCCCAGTCCCCCTTGAGGGCACAGACCGTGTCTTATTAATAGTATTCCCACTGCTTAAAAATGGCAGTGACTAATAGTAGTAGAACCACTAAAGAGAACTAGTAATAGCTTTTAAGTACTAGATACTGTTTTAATTTCTTTATGTGCATTTTCCCACTTAATCTCACGACATCCTATGTGTTAGGTACTGTTATTACTCCTATATTATAGAAGAGGCGATCAAGGCTTAAAGACATTAAATCGTTTTCCCAGGATCATTCACGAAGAGCTGGTGGAGCCAGATTTTGCGGGCAGAAATCAAACTCCAGAGCCCAGCCAGGTGCTTAATGCGGTATCTGAAAAGTGGTTGGTTTTCCAGTTCATATTTGTTGCTTGGTGGAGTGAATGAATTAAAAGATGATCCATGCATAAACAAATGGATAAACGGCCAAACCCACTGCCACGTGCTGAGGGCAGAGAATTCACATTCACCTGGGAAGGCACCTCACACGGCCAGAAAGCTCTGTGAGAAGACTTGTCTAAGTAGCCATTGGACAGGGGAGAGGAGGTATGAGCACCAGGGGGGCATGAGCCCATACATGGGGCCAGGAATGTCCCTGCCCTCCTGCCCCCCAGCTCCTCTGCCTGGACCCTGGAGGCTGAATAAGACCTGGGCTGACTTGTAGGCTCAGCCTTTCATTTGATTTCTGCAAACCCTTAGTCAGAGGGTGTGTGTAGGTGTGCTGGGGTAGGGAGGCAGCTCTGATCAGAGCAATTTTTCCCTTGGTCCAGAAAGGGCAGGCAGAGGGGAGACAGGGAAGCTGAGCAGAGTCGACAAGCACTTCCTGTCTGGATGGAAGCAGGGAGGTGACCAACAGGGAGGGACACTTGAGCAGAGAGATGTGGACACACCTGCCATCCCCATGGGGCAAGCTGGCTCTAGTAAGGTGGGGATGGGGGTGGGGGTGGGGAACCTCCAGAACTTTCCCAAGAAAGACTTGGGTGTTAATTCCTGCCCTGCTACAAATTTTGGTATGCCCTTGTCTGCAGGATCAGGACCCTGACGCCCTGGCTGCTAGGTCTGAGTGGGGGGTGAGGAGGTTCTCCACAGATGACTGCAGAGGGAAGCTGGAATTGGCAGATCCAAGTGGAGTCCTCTGCCCCCTCCCTCTTGCCACCCCCAGAAATAGAGACGGTCACCCAGGAGAAATGATCAGAGGACCTCTGCATGCAAGTGTGACTCACAACGTTCAGAGCACTTTAGAACACACTGTGTCATTGGATCCTCACGGCAACCCTACAGGGAAGGTAGGGCTGGCGCTGCTAGTGTTGCTACATCACCATTTTATACTTGTGGGAACACCCTGAGGGAGCCCAGAGCTCTTTTCTTTGTTGTCCATGCAATAATGCTGGACCCCAAAACTAGCAGCCAAAAGGACCTGAGGATGGTGGTCTCCATGCACACGGTGGGGGACTGAGAAGGCCAGGAGTCAGGAGAGTGGGGGTGGCCTGGCTCGTGCCACCTCCTTGCTCCTCCGCCTGCACATTGCTTTGCCACAGTTTGTCTGTGGGAGCCACTGCCTGGCCAGGTCGGTTGGCCTCTGGGTTGTCATGAGGCGAAGGGAGGGTCATTCGGGATCTCACTCGGGGTGCTCTACAGCGGTGGGTGTGAACCCCAGCGTTCTGGGCCCTGGGGGACGTTGAGCTGAACAGGGGCTTTGAGATGATCTAGTTTATACAACCAAAACCGAGGTGGGGAAGCAAAGCCAGACAGGCTTGCTTAAGTGAGAAAGAGAAGAAAACGCTACAGAGTAGTATGATTTTTAAGCCAGTTTTTGGATGGGGAAAGGGGAAATCATTTGAAAGGTGGAATGGGAAGGCAGAAATGGCTAATATCTACAGCCCCCTGGGAGGCCCCTCAAAGTCTCAGATGGTAGTCTGCCCTCATGTCCTCCTCCAGTGACACAGCCAGGGAGCTTTCCATGACCAATGCACAAGAGGGACGGTGACTAAACAGCAGACAAGCAAGGTGTGACATTTCTGCAAGGGTCAGCACAGGCAACCTTCTCCTGAGTGCAGGAGCCACATGGAACACAGTGGTGACAAGACAGTGACAGAGCCCCACAGAAATGCCCAGTGGTACTTAATGAGGACAGGTGCAGCTGGCAGCCAGGGTTGGGTGAGGGCATGTGGGCTGTTACCCTTCTTGCCTGTGCAGCTGGGGGAGGCACAGGCCTGGAGCCACCCAGGAGAGAAAGTAGAAGGGAGGAGGAGGAGGACTGGGGGCAAGCAAAAGGACCAATAAAAAGCAAAGAGAGGAGGAGGTGGGTGAGAGGGACATTTCTGGGGCATTGCTGGCCCTTGCAGAAGTGTGACATCTTGCTTGTCTGCCGAGTGCAGCACCACAGAGCAGGCGAGGCATGGACAAGGGCGAGGGCCCACACCTGGAAACTGACAGGAGGATGCTCTTCTTCTATGTGTTTCTGGATTTTCTAAATTATCTATGATAGAGATGTATCAGTTTGTGATTAGGACTTTAAAACAACACAGTGAAAAGGGGAAAAGACCAGAATGATGTAAAGTGTTAGCAGATATTTCCTCTGGGACGGGGGAGCTACTGGTGATTTTTGTTTAGTTTCTTTTCATGTTTCTGTTCTCTCCAAATTATCTAGAATGGGTATGAATGATTTTGATAACCACAGGAAAAAAATACAAGGGTGGCTTCCTCTGTCCTTAAAACAACAAAAACAAATGAGGCAAAGGAAGAGCGGCTGAGGAAAGTGAGGGTGGCAGGAGAGGCTGAGAGGTCAGGTAAGGAGCCAGAGGGCAGGGATGGGGCCAGGGGAGCGAGGGCCTGTCGCCTGCAAGCAGCCAGCTCTGCAGTGCGGCCCTGGCGGTCTGTCCTCCCCAGACCTCCCTCTAGCCTCTGCCTGTAGGCTTGCTGAGACCATTTAAATGGAC